TACAACTATAAACATCACAACCACAACAGCATTTGTTTCTTTCTCCGACAGCCCGGCCACCAACCGACCTACTTCTACGCCTATTCCGCCGTCTTTTCTTCTTGCCTCCGTCCTGGCGGTCCTGACGGTGTGCCATCGTGCTTCCTCGGCCACCAGCCAATGTGCCTCCTGCCTGCTCCTCCACTGCAGCATATGGCGGCCCTCCAAATCGGAACATCACGGTGGCCTTCCGCTTCAGCTCCTTATTTTCCGCCTTCAGCACATTACTCCTGCTCGCGCATCCTTATACATGCGTTGGACACAGACCAGTGGCCTGTTAAATGCTGCCACCTCATTTGCCCTACTCTGCAGCCGGTTCGACAAGTTTGTCACCGCAGTCATGTTTCCACACATGACTTCAATGTTTACTAATTGGCTTCCACATCGACTGCACTGCCATTCTTGCTCCACAGACCGCATCGGAAGTTCAACGGAGCAAACTCCGGGGCGCTGGTTGAGGTTCCAGTGCACCGCACCGAGTTCTCTTCTCTCGTTGACTCGTGAAGGTCGGGAAAGAGTGAGCACCGCGGAAGACGAAGCCATTTTTCTGGCTACAAAGTGTTCACAGTTTCTCTCTCCAAGAGCAGAGTTTTTCAGAGAAGGGTTGGTTTCAAGAGTTTCACGAATGGTATGCCTCTAGCCTCAGCCTCAGCTTCGTCTTGTTAAATAGCCAAGGCAGCCACGCGTATCCGCGCGCACTTTGACGCCAGACGACAAACGGCACGCCAACCAAGACACTCACGTGCCTCGGCATCATGTCCGGCACGTCCTTTTGATAAGTGGGCGCGCCTTTTGAGGAACGCCTTTTTATGGATTGGGCACGTCTTTTGATGGCACGCCTTTTTGAAAAATTGGGCACACCTTTTGAGGTGCGATTTTTTATGGGTCCGACAAGACTCGTTAAACTGTCCCGACATTATCCGGTTAGTTCTACAAGGTCCGACAAGACTCTGTAAACTGTCCCGACATTCTCTCTCTTTCTCTCTTTCCCTTCTTTTCTTCTCCTCCTCTCTTCCTCTTTTCTCCTCCTCTCTCTCTTTTCTGTCTCTTTGTATTCGAAAAGCAAGAAAAAGAAGAAAAAAAAGAAAAAACAAGAAAAAAAAGAAACCCAAAACGACGTCGTTTTGGGTTTCGAGCCAATTCGAGCTAGTGAATTTCGAGCTACCAAGGATTATTCAAGTTATAATATCAAAAATTTAAAAATAAAATAAAACAATAATAGAAAGAAGTTAAAAAATAGAAACAAATGTGATTTTTTAACACGAGTGACTAGCCCTTGTAGCAAAGCTAATAAAGTGGAAAATGGGCTGTCACAAGGGATTGAATAATGACAATACAAGCCCTATAGAATATGGAAGAGACATAAAATAAGAACAAAAATTGAAAAAAAAATAGATACTTTTTTGGTGTATTAAAATATAAAATATAAAAAATTGGATACTTATTTGGCATATCTCTCACGTATCGTGTCGTATCCCTCAAGTATCCTTCGTGTATCCCTCTTGTATACTAAGGCCTCGTTTGGGAATAGGCTATTTTAGTAACTTTTTGGTTTTTTAGCTAAAATATGAGGTAAAAAAATTAGTATGTTTGGGATGACTTTTTGATTTTTTACGAAAAGATGTGCAAAAAGTAGAGAGAAGAGAATCTTTGACTCTTTTTGTATTGAATTTTTGATTTTTTAATGACTTTTGGACTTTTAGGTCAAAATATGATGTTGCCAAACGAGGCCAAACGAGGCCTAAATTAAAAAAATAAATCAGATACTTATTTGCCGTATCCGATGCGTATCTTGCCATATCGTATGTGTATCCGTATTCGATAAGTATCCGATACTCGTGTGAAACTTTTTTTGGAGTATCCGTGCTTCCTAGGTCCTAAGTGGGCTTCCACTTGGAATTCCTGATTAGCCCCTTTTCCAGTTATCTTGCTTTACATCAGATTGATGATGACCAATGTGCAAGGACAGTCTAAACATGAGCTACACATTGTGGGTAGGTGTGTGTGTAGAGTTAGTCCGTTGTTGACCTCTGGGAAGATGGTTGGCACTTCAATGGCCTGAGATCACCATAGGTGAAGAGGAGGCCAAGGCAAGCTTGGAGAGGGAGAGTTTGGTAGTGATAGACCTTGAACACTAGTGTGTAAGTGTGTATTCAAGTGTAATGTGAGTATGAGTGTCTGGGTGTAACACTTGTGTGTTGTGAATCTGTGTTGTGATTGTTGTCGTTGTGTTGCGTGTCTGCCTACTGCATATATGATATGTTATATAGGCTCCTGGAGTATTGGAGCTCAAGCAACCTATTGGACAGGTGGCTTTTTTTTCCCAACTCTGCTAGAAGTTGATATATAGCTCTGTTGTTGTCTGTGGTTTGATGGTAGGCAGTGGAGCAACATATCATGGCAAGCGGGAGTACGACATATCATACATGCATCAGACGGTATGAGTGTGAGATCACTATTGCCTTTTCTCGAAGCCTGATCAAGATGGAGTTGACTGAGTAAGAAGACAACCATCTTGGCGATCCCATGACCTTAGCTGCCAGCCCAAGGTCCTCTGATGACTCTGATGATTCCAAGCAGTGATGCTTGGGTCCTGCTCCCAACCCAGATAACCAAGTAGGTGAATGGACTAGGGGTCTATCTTAATGTTTACAACGGCCAAGAGCTCGCTCTTATCAATCTGAGTCCAATGCATCTAAGTAGTCTGAGGGCCTAATTATATTGTTGTTGGACTTGGAGCGAAGTATGAAGGACTATAGGCGGGCCATGGGACTGCTTGTTATAGGACTCTTTATACTTGGGTTTGTGTGCATGCTCTCGCTTAGGTTAAGCACGCTCTTATCAATTCAAGTCCAATGTATGCAAGTAGGTCGCCAAGGGCCTGATTATATTGTTGTTGGATTTGGAGCGAGATATGAAGAAGGATCATGGGCCTGTAGGGGTTGTAGGGCTCTTCATACTTGGGCTTGTGTGCATGCTCCCTCTTAGGGTAAGCATGTAGTCTTGGTTTTGCATAGTGCCTTAGTGGTCTGCCATGCAGGTGGGTATTGGTGACATGGCGCCCGTAGGACTCGCCATGTATTAGGCACATGATATGCCAGCGTGGTGCTTTGTCAGTTGCCATGCAGGCGGGGCTTTGATGATGTGACATTTTAAGGGCTTGTCACATATTAGGCTTGATACAAGTATGTACACACATTCACATTACTTTCTCTTCTTATCTGAAGAGGTG